ATGCAAATGCTACCATTATTGCACAAAACTTCAGTGAGACCTAAATTGGAATACCGCGTCCATTTTTTAAGTGACTCATTTTTGAATTTTGGAGAAAGCATAGCTATGAATCATTAAAATTATATCTGCAATAAACTTACTTAACTCTGACATCCAGGCAAACTTGGGTTATTTCTCTCAAGATAAGGAGGCACAGAAATGTAGGAACAAAAGCAGGTCACTCATCACTTTTGAGTTTGTTCCACCTTTCAATTAGATCATGGCTGCTGTGTGTCTTAACTACCACATTTGTTTTATAACTCTTAATACCTTTATCTAAAAGTTATAGATATTTAAGACAAAAAATGCATTTTATAATCTCTTGAGTGTATTAATAGACCCAAAGCATTTTACATATGTGAATACAGACTGTTAGAATAAAAGTTGGCTAATTATGATAACTGACCAAGATGGAGGTTTAAAAGACTGATCCGGCAAGGTGTTTAAAGATGAAGAAGGGAGTTGCAAGACATAGAGTTTGGGTAATTGAGTTGCAGAAGCTTGGATCTCAATAACTGACACCCTAGCACCAAGTCAGAAGAAAATAAGGGGCTGGGCAGGGGCACACAAAGGGGTAGATATTGATGCATGGTACATTGAAGTTAGGAAATCAAGTCACTGAATCATATAAACTTAAAATGGTGCAGGAGGAGGACATTCAGTTCACATGCTATTCTGATACTCTCTAGAACAACCCAGTCAGCCCATTGCTCTGTTCTATTCCCATAACCGTGCTAGTTTCTGTCCCTCAAATGCCCATCCAATTTCCTTTTGAAGTCACTGGTCACCTTCACTTCATTACTTGCTACATGCAAAGCTCTTCCTCACTTCCACTCTGCTTCTCTTGCCTAAAACCATAAATCTGTGTCCTTTTATCCTTGTAATATCAGCTAATATGAAGAGCCTAGATTTTTCTATCTTATGCAAATTTGTCACAATCTTGTATATTTCTATCAAATCATCCCTAGCTTCTTGTGCTCAAGATGAATAACACCACTATCTCTAAGCTAACCTTGATGCTAGAATTTCTTATCCATGGAATAACTCTGGTAAATCCCCACACTTTTTTTAAGAACCTTCAAGTCCTTCCTAAAGTGTAGTGAACAGAACTGCATGCAGGAGATAGCAAGAACTGAAAATGCTGGAGTCAGAGACGACAGCGTGGAGCTGGAGGAACACAGCAGGCCAGGCAGCATCAGAGGAGCAGGAAAGTTGAGGTTTCGGGTTGGGACCCTTCTTCAGAAATGGGGAGGGGGAAGGCAGCTGGGAAAATAAATAGAGCGAAGGGGTGGGGCTGGGGAAGGTAGGTGGGATGGTGATAGGTGCATGCAGGTAGGGAGTGGTGGGGATTGGTCAGTGGGATGGGTGGAGCAGATGGATGAGAGAGAAGATGAATAGAAGTTTCCCTCGTCTGGTCAACCACTGGATCATTGGGCGATTTTGAAAAGGAGGAGTCAATGAAAATTAAGGAAGGCAATGAAATGAAGTAAAGAAAGAAACCAACGTAAAATACAGACTCATAGGCATTTACAATACAAAAGAGGCTGTTCAGCTCATCATGCCCAAACTGGTCATCAAAAATCTGACTACATGAATCTTATTTTCCAGTTTGTGCCATATAGCCCTGCAAGCTATGGCAGCACAAGTGGATATCTAAAAATTGCTTACATTTTACAGGTTTCTGACTCAACCATCCTTTCATGTAATGAATTTCAGACTCCCACCGTACTCTGAGTACAAAAAAGATTCTCCTCAACTTTCCACTTAAACTTCTACCTTTTTTTTATTCATTCACAGGATGAGGCCATCACTGGCATTTATTGCCCATCCCTAATTGCCCAGAGGGTGGTTTAAGAGTCATCCACATTGCTGTGGGTCTGGAGCCACATGTAGACCAGACCAGATAGGGATGGCAATTTCTTTCCCCAAACGACATTAGTGAACCAGATGGGGCTTTCCAACAATCAACAATGGATTCATGGTCATCATTAGACTCTTCATTCCATATTTTTATCGTCAGAAGTCACAAAACACCAGGTTATAGTCCAACTGGTTTATTTGAAATCACAAGCTTGCGGAGCGCAGCTCCCTTCATCAGATAAAGTCACACTTCACTTGATGGAAGGGCTGCACTCCGAAAGTTTGTGATTTCAAATAAACCTGTTACCCTAATCTGGTTTCATGTGATTTCTGACTTTGTCCAACCCAGTCCAACACTAGCACCTCCACATCAAGATTTTTATTGAATTCAGATTCCACCATTTGCCATGGAGGATTCAAACCCGGGTCAGCAGAACATTCCTTAGGTCTCTGGATTAATAATCTAGTCATATTACCACTAGGTCATCACCTTCCTGTAAACCTCTAACCTTAAATCAATATTTCCTGGTAATTGACTGTTCTTCTTTCGATCCACATGTCATAATCTTATACACCTCTATCAACCTTTGTTTCTCCAAGAAAAACAACATCAGCCTATCCTATCATTTCTCATAGCTCAGACCCTCCAGCCCAGGCAGCATTCTGGTAAATCTGCTCTGTGTCAGGGACAGGATGCAAGGATTTGGGGTTTTGAAGTGGCTTAATTTATTATCAGGATTAGTTCAGAATTTAGGAAGGTAGCTTTTGACAATTAAGTCTCAAGGTAACTGAAGCAAAAAGAAATTCAGTAGTAGCAAGGAAAAAATAACAGAACAGGTATGTATATATGATGCTTAGTTCTTGGTTAGACAGCACATCCATTTGCTTTGGAGTTTTGTGGGAGCCGAATAAGATTACTTTGGAAAGGGATACTCTCCCAGTTTAAACAGAATGAAAGGAGATGCTGAATATTAACTCACCGCAATTTAAAATTATGTATCAATTGTTTAGCAGTAGATAGAAAGGCCACTATAGCTTCAGTTACAAGGTGTTGAAATCTTACAGGATATTGAACTTGAACCCCATCTCTAACATTCAAACTCATTTTTCTTTTATTGAATGAACTAGCTGTCTGTAGTGATGGATATAATTTACCTCTTATTGGAGTTGCTTTTTGCTTATGATTCTCTAAATATTACATGACTCAAGTAGCACACCAGGAAAGTTGCATAGGCTCAATTCTCACAAAAAAAAATAAAAAGCCTCCAAACTCATGAAGGGAACATTTTCACACATAATTTATATCTTGAAGTAAATAAAAATGTTAAAATACCCTTCCATTTTTACAGCTCATGTACAGCATATATGTCAGTGGCACCTTATTATCATAAAACATAAGATTTAAACAAATATTCACAATGCTCTTTGTCAAGTAGGTTTTATAGTATAGCAAGGTTGCATTGTTTAATGAGTAATTTGCAAATGTAAGTAAATGCCTAATGGCAGTGGTAATGGATAATCTAACAGCAGCAGTTTTCAGTGCAATGTCTTGTGATAAGAGAAAGGTATTTTCTGCCAAACAGCCAAAAATGAAACAATGTAATTTGTCAAATTATGGTGATTGAAATGTTTCAAAACAGGAAATTACAGCAGTGAGATGTTTTCACAAAGGAATAGTGCAAACCATCTGTTGATAATTAATTGAAATCATACATATCATAAAATCAGTAAAACATACATCAATCACAATATATATATTCTTTTAAAACATACAATCAGCCTCATTATAACTTGTCATGATATTTTATGGATTTAGGAGTGAAATCTCAAAATCTGCTTTGTGTCCTGGACTTCCAGAAAGGAACATCAGATGCATAGGCATCAAACACCAATACTGTTCTGAATCAAACATTAGGTTAGCTCTACTTAACTGCAACAGAATGAAAAATTGCAAAGACTTGGTGTCGGATAGGTGAGCGATTCAAATTGCAAATGAATGAAGCCAGAAACAAAATGTAAATGAACACATTTCATTCTGTTACAATTTTACATTCTAGGGGCCTGATTTTTGCTCACTCAAAAACAACTCGCTTCCACAGATTTCAAAACGGATCCAAAAAGTGGGTTAAATTACAGATTCCCTCAGCAAGTGTAGAAAGATTGTGAAATCAATTACATATGTATCAAAGGAAGATAAAATAAATGCTTTCTTCAACTTTATTGTGTTAGTCCATCATATTTTTAATGCTTCTATCAACACTCATGTATCTAACTTAACTAAAGTACACAGAGATCACTGAATAGGTTTGATACTTAAACTGTGAAACTCAACATTAACTAAAAACAAACCTAATTCAGAGCCTTTGACCATTATTTAGTTTTATTAACAAAAAAGAGAGAAAATTATCCAGAGGTTATTTGCTACATCTTCTTTACACCAGTGCTGCTTCCTGAGACTTAAATCTTCATGAATTTGACTTATGTTTAGTCTTAATAATTAGTTTTGACCACAAACAGAAGATTTGGCAGTACGTGAGGTGTTGTCACTCCTGTCAGGTCAGTGCTTTGCTTCTTTGGTGCTGTGATAACCTACCTGAGATAAGCAACTCACAACCTTGTAAGAAGCAAGTTGGATGCAGCTGAGACTGGGGCCTGGATTCTATTCTTCCATTAGCTAATTTTAATCATATAAATGATACCTAATATATGATTACACTTGAACCACTGTTATGTTTCTAAAAATTAAAGAAATATTATAAAATCAACGAGTTTCAATTACAGCTACTAAAATATTGTTAATTTTGGTGCAATTCTTGGTATTGATTGGAGACTTTAGTCATTGTGAACAACTGTTATTTCCTGAAAACTAATCTTGTAAATAATATGAAGAATTAAGGTACTTGGCATGTCACATTAATTTTATAGTGCTATAGAAAAGTATTGAAAATAGCAAAGGCCAACTGTGAGAACAGCAAATGGAAATACAACATTTAAAAATATTGTGAAGAATATAATGTTTGAACTAGAAAATACAGCCTTGAGCAGAAAATTGGTAAAGAAAGAATTAGCAGAATGAAAAACAGATTCAAAAAGAGGCAAGTTTTAGAAAGGAAAACTAAAGAAAGAAACCAAATGCATTAATGACATGAGAAAATGAACAAATTACAGAAATGAGAATGGGGATGAAAATGCTAAAAGCTCAAGGCGAGCAAGCTGGGGCTAAATTAAGGTCAAATGAAACAAATGAGGTGGAGGAATAAAGACAATTCAAAATGGCAACAGAATTTTTCAAAATTCTCTTATAAAAGGTCAAAGGTCATGAATTATATGGCTCTGTAATTAATATGTTTCACTACTGTTATTACACACACAATACCCATAAGCCACATTACATTTTTTGTCTCTGATTTTGCAATGTTAAATTATTTTACATTAACCCACAAGACACATACAAAGAATGTTACTTAATTTAAACATTAATAACAATCAAGTACACAGGGGTTCTTTGGTATTATGCCTTCAATCAATCTTATGCTTCCCATCAGTCAATTTACTACATCAGATGTTAACCTTTTAGACTAATTACAAAGTATCCATGTTGAAATTCAGTGCATACTTGGACTTCTAAAAATAATTATTTTCAATTTCAAGAAAGCACAATTGAACTTATGTAAATTGGGAATTGTACTGTGATATACATTTTATATCCAAAATGTTAATGAGATCCCACACAATTATTTTGCCAGATGTAGATGTATTTCATTTTGTACATACCTCAACCTCCTAGCAGTAAGGAAACCACTCACATCATGTCACATTTTTAGGTATCACAGGAAATGATTACAAAAAGGACAAGAAACTCACAGTTAGGGTATGAAAGACAGAAGTAAACAAAAATATTGTAAACAATATGATCCATAGAATAAACATTTCACACATTTTGAAAGGTCTGATATTAACTTGTTCTGTTCTGAGCAAGACAGCAGTCTACTAACACAGGAACAGACATCCACTGTGTGCAGTTCTGTAGAAATGTGATTGGGCAACAGAAATAAACATTTATTAAGGGTGCAGACACCGAGACCTAATGTGAATCAACCAGAACCAAGTTGTGGGGCTTAAGGGAAAGTTGAAGGGACTAATTTGTACAATATTCAAATGCTAACTCTTTCATGCATTTCCAACAGTCAATTGATGTGTATTCTGTCACCTTAGATTAACTCAAAAAAATTGTAAATCTCTCTAGTCAGATGTTAATTAATCGATTCAAAAGATTTTGTTTTAAAAAATACAAAAGGAGTCTAATGCTCTCAATATATGTTCTAAGGTTGTAGTCTATGATTTCTACATTGGTTACTTCAGAAACAAAGCCAAATGTAAGATAATGTGCAGACTTTACAGTAATAGTATTATTTTCTTTTGTAAATTGTATTGAAAACACCTTCAACGTTAAAACACGAGCAGCAGAAATAAATTAAGGACCATTCTGCCAAGGGTTGATCCATCGCTTGGTGAACATCAGAGGGCACTCCACTGTTGCAGCCCACAACTGCTGTTTCATCTGTTGCCTGGTAGAATTTCCATCGCTTAAATCTCAGACATAAACAGACACAAATAGTCATATAACGCAGTAAGGTTCCCGCGGTAACCTAGATTTTCGACAATAAAGGATGTTGGTGCTGAAACAACGTCTTAGCTCCCGGTTGGAGAAGATGCAGATGAAAGGGTTGACCCCAGCCTGGACAAAAGTCATCCAGACCGCAGCGGTCAGGTAACCCCGGGGAACAGCGGGGCCCTTCACAAAAACACGCCAGTAACATGCGACCAGGTATGGGCACCAGAGGGCCACGAAGAAGAAGGTGATCAGGTAGAACATCCTGCCTATTCTCTTCTCGGTTTTGAACTCGTCCATGACCAGCAGCCTCCTCCTCATGCCCTGGCCCTGGGGGTTTTGCCTGATGCCCAGCAGGGTAGGAGGGGTAGGTCCCCGGCCGAAGCCAGCGATCCAGTTGGCCGCCGCCTGCCCAGTGGCCCCGGGCCCGTGGAAAGTCCAGTTTTGGCTGACGGCGGGCACCAGCTGGACGGGCTTCATCTTACGCCGGTCGTAGACGAAGAAGATCAGCTTCAGGTAGACAATGTGCGTGGCCAGGACGATCACCGCGAACATGAGCATGAAGCCCAGCGAGTCGTTCACTTTGAAGTACCTGTGCTCGAAGATGCACTGCTCCTCCTCCCGGATGAAGGTGTAGGTGCCCACGTCGAAGACCGGCGGGAAAGCCATGGCCACCGACAGGGTCCACACCATGCAGATGACCGCCAGGCACGTCCAGAAAGTCAGCCTCTTGGAGTAGAAGCGGTGGTGGGCGATGGCGATGTAGCGGGTCACACTCACACAGAAGAGCATGAAGACGGCGTGGAAGCAGGACAGCACGCCGACGAAGGCGACCACTTTGCAGCTCAGCGAGCCGTAGGGCCAGGACGAACCGTTCTTCACCGAGAGAAAGACGAACGGGAAGCAAACCGCCGAGCGGATGATATCCGAGGAGCAGAGGTCCAGCAGGAAGTAATAGGGAGCCCGGTGGAGGGTTTTGTCTTTGATCAGGAGGAAGGAGATGAGTAGGTTTCCCAACACGCCGACCCCGATGGTGAAACCCAGGGATGTCAGCTTGAAGAATGTCGCCAGAGGAGACACATTTTCCAAAAGGTTCTCGCTGCTCCCAGTAGGTGCATGGCTGTAGTTCGCCATAGATCCCGTCAGTAGGTCTCTGGGAATAGATTCAACCACGGTGTCGAAGTATCATGATGGAAGGGGGGCAACGGCACTTAAAAATCATATAGCAAATAAAAACATCCAGCACCCCCCTCCCCCTAGCCGAGCTCCTATCTGTGAATTAACAGATGTAGGTGGTGGGGGGAGTGGAGGGGAGAAAAAAAAACATTTAGCGATAGCATGTCCGGCCCTATCCGGGCACCATTCCCATTTAAAGGCATCTATCATATCCACCCCATCGGGTTATCGGCTCAATCATTTACAGTGAGGGACCCTGTAAAATGAATCATCATATTTTTTTTTAAAAAGTCTCTCATTCCTCACAAAAAAATCCATATACAGATTAACATTTGTGAAATACGGCTTTATCGACTTTTGCAAAATAAAAAAAAGACGCGAATTCAACAGAGAACGAGAGGGTAAAACACGTACCTGTGTGTGTGAGTGTGTGCTGTTGTGTTATCAGGAGTTGCTGTCTCCTGCTGCTGGTTTGCTTGCTGGGAGTGAATGGATTGCAAGTGGCTGGAGCCGAAACTGCGCACCAAGCCTATTTGTAATCCCTGCCGCGCCTTCCCCTGTCGCATCTCTCTCTCTCTTCCACAGACACACACACACACACACACACACAGAGCAAAGGCAAAGGACGCCTATATGCAACACGTCCACTCCATCGAGAACACGATTAACGCTAATTTATGTTACTTCAGCCCAACCAGGCATTGAAAAGCTTCACAGGCGGCTGGGCCTGGCAAAGACAACCTTTAGTGCATCGCTGCGTTGTCAATTTTAAAAATATTTCACTAGTTCTTCGCTGTTAATTTGTTGATACAGATTCTATTGGAAAACTTAACACAACCATTTCATTAATGAACCTTTACTATGTATCTTCTGTAGGTCTATTAGTATGCATAATATGTGAGAGTGCATAATGATCACTGCACACACCCAGGTATCATTGTGCATAAACTGATCTGAGGGGGCTAAAGTGCTCATTTTGACTAAATATTAATTAAGTATAAAATTAAAAACAGAAGTTATTTTGTTCCTCCCTTTGTGGATGCTAATATTATTGAAGTTGTTCAGTATAGTTTTTGATTAATTGTATTGCAAGGTTGCAAAAAGTTGGCTGCCAAATTTGCTTCCATTGCAATAGTAATTAGTCTTCCAAAAGGTACTTTAGAAGCCGATGTAAGCTTGTGAAGGGCACAATATAAATACAATTGTTGTTAATATTAAATGTATCCTTCACTTGAAGCTGGTATTCTCCACCAACATGGATTTTTTTTTCATCAATTGAACCACATATTCAGCACCAACCATGGCACAGGCAACAAGTACTTGAGCGCATGTTGGCCCCTCCTGCAGGATATAATTAGATTACCTTCGTGGAATCCCCTACCATCAACATCCTGGAGTTAGCATTGACCAAAAAGTTAACTGGATCAGCTGCAATAAATGCTTTGATTACAAGAGCAGGTCAGAGGCTGAAAAGTTTATGCGGCTGAAAAGTTTATGCTGAGTGAGTCACCTCGTGATTCCCCAAATCCAGCTACAACGCACAAGTCAGGAGTGTGATGGAGTCCTTTCCAGTTGCTTGAAAGGGTGTGCCTGCAACAATGCTCAAGAAACTGAGCACCATCCAGGACGTAAACATTCTCTTTCTGCATCACTGGTGTATATAGCAGCAATGTGCTTCATCTATAAAATTCACTGCAGCAATTCACCAATTCTCATTCAATTGCACCTCCCAACCTGCAACCTCTACTGACTAGAAGGAAAAAAATCAGCATGATCAGAAGAATAAGGTATGCAAATATAATGCCCCTGCCCCCACCCCCCCAACCACCACCAAACAAGCACCCTGAGCTGGAAATCTATTGCAGTTCCTTCAATCTGAAACTCCACCCTTAATGGCACAGTGGCTGTGTGTACATAAGGCCTGTAGTGGTTCAAGAAGAGGCCTAACCAGCACTTTCTCAAAGGCAGTTACAAATGGGCAATATTAACTGGCCTTGGCTGTGATGCCCATATATTATAAACAAATAAAAAGTATTGGCCAAGTCCATATCAGCTACTCCCCTGGCCAGTTCTTCCCCAAATGGTCCACCCTTCCCCTGGCCTCTTTATTAACATGTAGACCTCTTCTCTGCAACCGCTCTCCTCTCCAGAGATCTCATCTCCCCTCCCAGCTGTGAGGTACTGCTATAAACTGGTCTTTAGAATACCTTATCTGGGACTTAGCATTTGGTGGCAGCTTGTATTCGTAAATTTGGCCATTACTACTGCTGGAGTTGCTGGGAAAAGAGAACTGCCAACCAATCAGATTGTGGCCACTCCTTCCAGATTGTGAGGCAGAAGTCTCATCTCCAGCCACTTAGTACTCTTGGCTATGGAGCTGCTATTGTTGATGGGGAGGCACATTCCGAACTAACTCTTTAGGTGGTAGGAAGGATAATTCTGTTATGCTAAAAGTTTTGTCCAATGAGAATCATTCCACAGATTAGGAGAAGTTTGGGTATCTTTCCTCAGAAAAAGTTGAGAAGATCTTTGATAAAAGTGTTTAAAATTAAGCGGGAGCAGGACAGAAAGGATAGGGACAAACTGTTCCACTTGACAGATAGATTGAAATCTAGAGGACACTAAATGTAAAGTGATTGCCAAAAGAATTGAAGGCGACATGCAAATAATTATTGTTTTACGCAGTGTAGTGTTGTGATCTGGAATGAATTGCTTGAATGGGTGCTGAAGGCTTTAAAAGGGCAATGGTAATTACCTAAAGGGAAAATTTGCAGGATTATGGGAGGGATTGGGGTCTCAGACTAGTGAAATTACTCATGCAAAGAGACAGCATGGGTTGGCTGAATTATCTACTTCTGTGCTGTAACCATTCTGAGTATGTTGCAGAACATCCTAAAGATTACACAGACTATCATGGAATGAATGTTTATGTCAGAACATAGAACAAAAAAAAAGGTGCAGGAATAGATTATGCTGCCCATTGAGTCTGCTGCACTATTCATTAGAACATAAGGAGTAGGAGCAGGAGTGAATCATTTAGCTCTTTGAGTCATTCAACAAGATCAGGACTGATTTTCTACTTCAACACCATTTTCTGGCATTATCCCATATTGTTTGATGTATTTAATATGTAGAAATCAATCCCAGTCATGAACCTACTCAACAATTTAATCTCCACTGTCTTCTGGGGCAGAGAATTTCAAAGATTCACCACCCTCTGAGTTAAGAAATTCCTCCTCATCTCAGTTCGAAAAACCTGCTTCTTATTTAAAGACCACATCATTTGGTTCTAGACCCTCAATCAGGTGTAACATCCTTCCCCCCATTTACCCTGTCAATCCCTGTAAGAATTTTCTATGTTTGAATGAGATCACCTCTCATTCTTTGAAATTTCAGAGAATGAAAGCCTGGAGTATTGAATCTTTCCCCACAGGACAGTCCTTCCATTCTAGGAATTAGTTCGATAAGCCTTCATTCCAATACATCCATGGTAAGTATTCACCACAATCATGGATGATCCTCAGGTTCAATCCCATGTTCTTGTATCTCTTGATTCCTTGAGGGACCAAAAATCTGTTTATCTCAATGTTAATATATTTAGTGATGGGACATCAACAAAAAAACCTCTGGATTCACAACCCTTGATGTAAAGATATTTCTCTTCAGCTTGGTTTTGAATAATCATCTCCTTATCCTGAGACTGTGTTCCAATGTTTTAGACTCCCCAGCAAAGGGGAAATAATCTTACAGTGCCAATACCCTTAACAATCTTGCATTTTCCAATTAGAACACATCTATTCTTCTAAACTCTAGACATTATAAACCCAATTTACTCAGTTTCTCATCATAAAATAATGTTTTTATCCAATTTAGTGAACCTTTGCCTTACTGCCTCTAATGCAATGTATCCTTTTTCCAACATGGAGACCAAAATTACACACAGTATTTTAGGAATGGTCTCAGCAAAATCCTGTACAATTTTAGCAATAACTTTTATTCTTCTACTCAAGCTCACTTGCAATAAAGTCCAAAATATCATTTGCCTTCCAAACCACTTGCTGAATGCTAACTTTCAGCATTCCTTTTTAGAATGCACTAAAGTCTGTCTGCATATCGACAATTACAAATTTCACGCCCTTTTTTGAAAAAAAAAACTCCTTTTCCATTTTTGCAACCAGAGTGAATAACTTGACATTTCCAGACATTATACTTCATCTGGCATCTTTCTGCCCACTGACTTAACCTGTCTATATTCCTTTGCAGCTTCTTTGTGTCCTCCTCACAACTAACACTCCCACAAAACTTTGGATCTTTCAGAAATTTAAAGATACTATTCTTGGCCTCTTTGTCTATATCATTCATATAACTTATAAATAATTTAGATTTCAGCCCTGATCTTTGCAGCACTGCATGATTCACAGCCTGCCAACTTGTTAACTGATGCTCTATCTGTGCTAATATATTACTCCAAACTCCATGAATCTTTATCTTAACCACTGGTGTAGCACTTTACTTAGTGCCTTTTACCCAAGAATACTATATCTACTATTGTGCTTCATCTACCCTGCAAAACTCCAATAGATTTGTCAAACATGACTTTCCTTTCATAAAACTATGTTGGCTTTGTGTGATCACAAAGAATTGTGTACATTGTACATTGTTACTTTATCCTTAATAGTAGATTTGCTTTGGCAGGAAGAATAAAGAGAAAAGCACAGTATTATCTTAATGGAGAACAATGCAGAATATTGAGATGCAGAAGAATTTAGGTGTTCTAGTGCATGAGTCACATAAAGTTAGTGTATGGTAAAGTCACCATCAACCTACCAGATCATAGAGTTGTTCCCTCATTATAGACGGGGGCAACTAGTTGTGGTTTAACTTGAGTGTGTCCGTATCTCAGAAGAGGGTGGAGATTGAGGAGAATCCTTCATGATAACCTTGGCTGGGAGCAGGAACTAAACCCAGGCTGTTAATATTGCTCTGCATTGCAAACCAGCCATCTATCCAACTGAGCTAAACCAACCCAAGTTTGACACACAGATACAGCAAATAAATATAAAGGCTAATGGAATGCTATCCTTTACTATGAGAGGAATTGAACATAAAAGTAAGGATGTTATGATTCAGTTATATAGGGCATTAGTAAGACCATATCTTGAATACTAAATGTAGTTTTGGTCTTCTTATTTAAGGAAGAATACAAAAAAATACAGTGAAGGCAATTCAGAGGAGGTTTACTAGATTTCTGTGTGGAATAAATGGACTGCCTTATGAAGGAAAGTTGGACAAACTTGACTTATTTCTATCGGAGTTAAGAACAATGAGGGTGACTTGATGAGAGTCCTGAATTGTCTTGACAAGGCTGACTTGTAGGTGAGTTCAGAACTAGGAGCTACTGTTTAAAAATTAGTCGTCAACCTTTTTAGGACAGAGATGAAGAGAATTTTCCTTCTCTCGGAGGGTAGTGTGACTTTGGAACTCTCCCTCAGAAGGTGGTGGAGAAAGTGGGGAGGGGTGGTGCTGGTGAATATTTTTAAGGTGGAGGCAGATATATTTTTTATTAGGCAATGGAGTCAAAAATTATTGGTGACAAATGGGAATGTGGAATTCAAAACAAACAGATCAGCATGATCATACTGAATGCAAAGTAGACTTAAGGGGCTGACTGGCTCATTTGTGTT